GGCGGTCCTGATGGTCCATGCAGGCGGTCCTGATGGTCCATGCAGGCAGTCCTGATGGTCCATGCAGGTGGTCCTGATGGTCCTTGCAGGTGGTTCTGCTTGACGCGTGGTTCTGTCTGCAGGTCAAACTCTGATCATTGTTGGAGAACATCAGAAGAAACTCGGAGGAGCAGAGAGAGAATTCCTCCAAACTTCAGCTGCAGCCTTCCTCACTCCTCTTCGCAACTTCCTGGAGGGAGACTGGAGGACGATCTCAGTAAGAGACAGAGGCACGGGACTGTCCGGGAATATCCGGGACTGTCCGAGACTTGTTCTTTCATGTTTTCTTGTTGACAGAAAGAGCGTCGTCTGCTGGAGAACCGTCGTTTGGACCTGGACATCTGCAAGGCTCGTCTGAAGAAGGCCAAGCATGCAGAGGCCAAAGCAGCGGTGAGCGCAGAGGCCTCTGAAACTCAACTGGACTCCAGGTTTTTGTGGTCTGTCAGTAAATGAAGTGGACTCCACAATGATGGAGGTGGAGCTCCGACTATCTGGACTCGTCTGCTCAGATTCTGTAAACAGAGCGTGGTTTGCTCCGACAGTCCGTCGGGTGAAGGAGGGAGAATAATGTCAAATGAAATGATTTCGTGTAACCTCTGCTCAGCTGGCTGTTCGTCCTGATGAATTCTGTAAAAGCTCCACCTGAGGGCGCCACACCCCAACACTTCCTGTTTCAGTTTCTGCTGCTGTGCTTCTGGTTTGTGACTTGTTGATGGCGTAAGTGTGTCCTCTGTCTGCAGGCTGCACCTGACTTCCAGGAGACGAGGCCTCGGAACTACGTCCTGTCTGCCAGCGCCTCAGCGGTGAGCCTCACCTGCAGCCAGCTGTTCAGACTAGTTGGGCCACATTTTAATTCAGTTCAGTTTATTTATAAAGCACCAAATCACAGCAAAGTTGTCTCAGGGCACTTTACAGGAACATTCACATCAAAACCAATTAGTAAAGTTCTCTATGTAAGAATCCAGCAGACAAGTTGAATCTTCACTTTGTCTCAGTCTCCCATCCTGAGCAAGCACAGTGGAAAGAAAAAACTCTTAAAAGGAAGAAACCTCCTTTAAGAGCAGATGTTTCTGGTTCTGCTCACATTTGAATGTAGTAACAATATTTAATGTTTACTCTGCTCATCCCGTTCATTCTCTGCATGCGTTCATCTCAGAGGCTGGCTTCCTTTATGCCCCCTCCCCCAACGTCGGGGTTAAATGGTGTATTCTGGAGCCATCCAGGGTTCAAGGAGACTTTGTTGTCATTCACGTCACATATTGTACATGAGGTGGAACCAAATTGTGCATTCAAAGTCCCAGTTACGCCCAACAATAGCAAAACAAAAGAAACGCTACGCTAATAATGTAACACGGTGTATTAAACAGCAGCCTGAACATGAGGGTTCCTATGTGTCTGACTGTAGTCACTGACTGTAGGAAATGATCAGCAGAACATGTTGACCCTCCACATGACCTGATGGCAGCATAGGACAGGGGTCCCCAACAGGTAGCCTGAGGGCCAGATCTAGACCCAATGAAAGGCTTACCTAGACCCTGATATGATCTTAAAACTCACTGTAATCTAAATACTTTATTTATTTTGAACTTGCTAACATTTTCCTGGTAGTTGTTGTGTGACACAGCTCTTGGAGTGTTTTCTGTTCATTCCGGGTCGGGCCTGTGGATTCTCTCTTGGGCCCACAAAGATGCACAAGCCTAAAGAGAAAAGAATGTTCTGGACTTCTGCTGCAGGCCAGACCTCAAACACCTCAGATCTACACTGCCTGGCCCAAAAAAAGTCTCACTAATATTTAGTTGGACCTCCTTTATCTTTGATCACATCGTGCATTCTCTGTGTCATTGTTTCAATAAGCTTCTTCAATGTCAAGATCTATTTCCAGTGTTGCATTAATGTTTCACCAAGATCTTCCATTGACGAGACACTGGTCATGATGGTGCATCACTTCACCTGCCTCTCTTCTGACCCTGATGCACCATCACTCTGGAACAGGGTCAGTCTGGACTCAGACCTCATGACCTTCTTCCATTGCTCCACAGTCCAATCTTTATGCTCCCTAACAAAACTGAAGCATTTTTTCCAGTTAGCCTCACTGGTTAGTGGTTTTCTTAAGTCTACCCAGCTGTTCAGTCCCAGTCCCTTGAGTTCTTCACATTGTGTGTGTGGAAACGTTCTTACTTTCATTATGAACCACAGCCCTGAGTGCTGCTGGTGTTTTTCTTCCATTTAATTTCACCAAACGTTTAAATGATCACCGATCACGATCATTCAGGAGTTTTTTCCGGCCACATTTCTTCCTGGAAGATGATGGGTCCCCACTGTCCTCCCAGTTTTTAATAATGTGTTGGACAGTTCTTAACCCAGTTTTAGTTTCTACAATCTCCTGAGATGTTTCCTCTGCTTGATGCCAATGATTTGACCCTTCTCAAACAGGCCGACATCTTCTCCACGACCACCATGAGACTTTCATCATGTTGTTGAAGAAATGAGAAGCAACTCATTGCACCAGTTGGAGTTAAAGAACTTGTTGCAGCTGAAACATAATCACCCATGCAGTATTTCTCCAACAGGAGGCTCGGACCTGTTTGATGAGTTAAATCCAGGTGGAGACTTGTTTTTGGGCAGACAGTGTATGATGTAGAGAGCATCGGTCCTGACACTGAGCCCTGAATGAAGAACCTTCAGTTTTCACCAGAACAAACTGGGATCTCTCAGATGAATAGGATTTAAACTGTTTTCCTGTAGTTCAGACTCGTCTGTGTGGGTCACATCAGGGTTGATAACTAGGAAGGATCCGATGATCAGTTTGTCTCGTTGTGTCTGATTCAGCTGCAGAGAGACAGTTCGGACCCTCATCAGGACCAGAACTTTGTTGTGGTCGTGTAGCGTTGGTACAACCGCAGCTGTTGGTCACATTGCTGTGGTTTTGTGTTTAAGAGTTCGGTTTCCTCCTCGTTGGACTTCATTGTTTTCCTTTTTCTTACTTTGACCAAAGTTCGGGGCTTCAGTTTGGTTCTGGACCAAAAGTCCAAAGCAAACCTCTGAAAGACCTTGAAAGAGTCTGGAGAGCTGATCCAGACCACTTTAGCAGCTCGCGGTGAACAGAAAGCACCTTGGCCTCTGAGCTGCTCTGAGTTCTGCTCATCAGAACGCATCCGGACCTTTTGACCAGCTTGGTTCTGCAGCTGCGGTGGCACCGCTCTTCATCCAGTTCTTGTTCTGCAGGAAGCAGGTCAAAGTTCAAGCTGACGTCAGACTTGATGCAAACATCTGCAACAGCTGCAGAAAATAGATGTTTAAACTTCAGACTGTGGCCCATTTCAGCAGAAACCAACGTGATGAAATGTTCCCTCTGAGCACCGGTTCTGCTCCAACAAAACAACACCGATCGAGGGGAGAGGTCACCCCTGAACCCGACCTTTGACCCTTGGCAGGAGACCATCAGCCCTGCAGCTGACACACACTGGGACCGTAAAAATGGTGGAAATAAGAAAATGTTGTGAACTTGGTGACATGATCAGTGTTGTGCTGAAATCAGTAAATCGTCCGTTCACCTGTCTTTTCTTGTTCTTTACCTGTCAGCTGCTGAGTGAGGAGGTGGACAAAGTGAGTACCTTCTCTCCACGGCTGTTCGAGTGTGCTGGCCTCCTTCTGACAGCTCCTTGTCCTCCTCTCAGGCGGAGCACGAGCTGCGAGTGGCTCAGACGGAGTTCGACCGGCAGGCTGAGGTGACCCGACTGCTGCTGGAGGGAATCAGCAGCACACACGTGAGTCAGAGGCGCCGGACCGCTCCACTTCCACCTCAGTCTCCGTTTGTTTCTTTGATGAAAACCAAAACCATCTCGGTTCACGACAAGGTTCTGACCGTCACCAAAGCGAGCACAGGAGACCAGAACAAGGAGAGTCCATCTTTCATTTTGAACAAAAAACATCCAGATTCTTTAAATCAGACACATTTGTGTGTCAACAAAAACTGAAAGTTACTGCTGGGAGAGAAATTGGGTCCAGTTATGCTGGTTCTACAGAACCTCAGCTGGCCCGGGTCAGCTGCTAATTATCTGATCATCATTGGAGGGATCAGCGGTAGAGTTGCACTCGGGCCTAAAAAATCCGGCCTGGGCCGAACCCGTAGGTTATTTCCTGAGCCCGACCCGGAACCAACGGATTAACTGATTACAGGCCTGAACCCGAAAAAATAAAATAAAATTAAGCTTTTACTGCTTTTGTAAGCAAATCAGTTTGACATGATTTAAATACGTATTTCAAAGAAAGAAGATATAAGATTTCTTGTTTATTAAGAAGAGTCAGCTGATTATTATAGTTATTATAATATAGTTATTATTGTTATTATAATATAGTTATTATTGTTATTATAATATAGTTATTATAA